CACCCGCCCACCCGCTGTTCTTATCTATATTTTAGCTCTTCGGTGCTTCCGCGCACACAGCATATGACATCTGTGTGATGCTCCGCCAAGCAAGTGGAGCATTGCAGGAAGTAAGGACGCACACACGCTCTGCGCACATGCGCTGTGCACATTTATGTGGTGGCCGCTGCACCATACCAGTTGCACCGAGATCCGGAACTGACCACTGATGATTTTCCTATGTATTTGAAAATTCAGTCCATGGACTGTCTTGGAATGAATCCAACCCTATCCACTTAAACTTTCATGCAAAGTTCTGCAATTCTTTCGAACGTTTTTATCACTTTCCAATTGCAGAAAACCATCTAGTACAACAAAATGGATGAGCAATCAGCAACTAGTAACAGATGACGATACAGATAAACATATCACGTAAACAAACTTGCTTTAAACAATCTTTACAAAGAACGATCAATGTTTAAGGAGCCATTTAACTGGTTCACAATTTGCCCTAAGCTTTGCAATAGTTTTGCAACATTAAAAAAAAATCAGCAGTCTTCTACTGTAACTTAGTTGTTTTTTTTTTATCAAATGCTGTTTTAAAACTATCTTTTAAGAAAGTATCGTTTAAGTATCCCTTTAAAAATATGTGTTTTAATCAATAGTTGCAACCAAATGTTGTTTGTTTTTTTCCATAAACTGATTCCAAGTTTTTAAAAAGGGACATAACTGCACAATCTTAGAGAAGACTATTAACAAAAGGTTACAGAATTTGGATGCGCCAATTTCCCAAATGAAAGAAAATTAAACCAGAGACCTATTTAGATGGCTCCATTATCGAAGTGATTTTTATCCTCCCTTGTTTTTATGGTATGCGTTAATACAGATTTCTATGTGTTGTATTTGCAGTGTTTACATTTGTTGGTTTTCTTTGATTGTTGTGCACCTCCCAGAGTTGCTTTTGATGAGAAGGGTGATATAAATCTGATTAATAATTAACAATTTCTTCAGTCAGTGAGCATGCCAGGAAAATGGATGATGCAATTTAACAGCCCTCTTTATCATACAATCAGGGTGAATTAAAGGGCAATTTTACCTCAGCTAGGAAAAACAATAGAAATAACCCCACACATTTTCTAAAGAGGTATCAAAAGGTCACATATGGTTAATTAGCTGTTTGCATCAACTAAAATTGTATACAATAGTTTTCTGATGTTTCATCAACTGGTCTTTATATTTTGATTGTTGGTTTATATTTAACTGTTGAGTATCTTGGATACTATATGGTTGGAAAGCTAAATAAAAATTTAAGGGATAAATAAAACAAACACTTCAGAAGCATAATCTGTATTCATGCTTACAAAAAGTATACATCTGTTTATACTTACTGCGTCCATGTAAGTTAACTGTTCTGCTACCAGATCTTCTGGGAAAGAAGAAAATTCTTCTGCTCCACTAATCTTTGTTTCTTCTTCAGTTGCAAATATATCATGAATCTCACCTGTCAGGATATAATGCATAGTGAACATTTACTAAATGTGTCCTCTCATTTTACTTCATGTAAGTCTAACTGAAGTTAGATCTTGCGCTGAAGACTAGTTTGAGACAAAAAAACCAGGGTTATGCTTTTAATCACAAAAAGGGTAGAAAGGGAAAGAGAGGGCATGGGCAAATGAGGAAGCTGTTGGGCATGATCAAACAAAGCACATCGTTTTGAATCTTGCTTAGCGAAAACAAGAAACATACATTGATGAAACAAGGAGTATATTTTAGGAGACCTCTTTCATCTTGCACTGACCCACTTCAAGAAACATGTAAAGAACTCTGCTTAAGTGAAGCAAGAAGCCTAAAGACCAAAAGACACTATTCGCAAAGCACAAAGTCGCGCGAGCGATATGGGGTGTATCTAGATACACCCATGTTACACCAGATACACCC